TGATGCGTTAGCATCTAATAATCTGTGATCATATGAGATGGAGGTCAAATGCGCAATTATTTTTTATAAAAAAAAGGTCGTATTATTCTTATGACTTTCATGCGACAAAATCATACGCCAAAAGTGATGACACACGTGGCTCTGTTATACTAAAGATACGAATACCATAATAATTACCAAGGCTTAAATCCAAACTAAATACTTTAATGTCATGCTAGTAAAACAGCGTGACATTCAATAAACTTAAAAAAAATACAATGATTAAAGTGACATCTCTTAGTCAGTAATGGTAGCTTTAAAGGTACCTCCCTGAGCGAAAAAATTAATTTCTCACAGATGGCGCTACTGCTAAAAAAGTCGTTGAAAACCAAAAAACAAAGAACTGCAACAAACAGATAGAAGGGTTCGTAAGGTCTGCTGTTCCGTGGCTTGATTAGCGTGGATTAATCTGGCACTGGTTCGATACCAGAAGATCGAATGAAATTTTCTTAGTGTTTCGATCTTTGTTAAAATAATTAAAAATACTTTAAAGTTATTAACATGAAAAAAAAAACTATGAAAAAAAAAACTTATAAACTCTATGACGAAAATTGTTTGATTGACAAAGTATCAACGTCAAAACAGACTGTCAAACTATTTTATAAAATAATATCAGTACAGAGTACTAAAAAAACTATATAACTAGACAAGATTCGCCTCCTTGTTTGCCACCCTTAGAGGTGGAACATTTTCTTTAAATTTAAATGGGACCACTACTGAGGCACCCTCTTTCCAACAAAAAAAGTATCATCAAAATCGGTTCACAATTACGCGTTACAAACATTAAAAAAAAAACATACTGTCGAATTGAGAACCTTCTGCTTTTTTGAAGTCGTTTAAAAAACCGATCTCAAAAGTTCGTGGAATTACTTGTATTGGTCAAATTTAATTGAAATCGGTTACCGGGCAGTGCGCGAAACCGGGTTAATCCCCTAGCTTACCACCCTTAGTGGTGGAATATTTTCTGCAAATTTAAATGGAACTAATACCGAGGTATCCTCTTTCCAACAAAAACAGAATCATCAAAATCGGAGTAATCACGTGACATATGTGCAAAAAACAAGTCTAATTGAGAACCTCCTCCTTTCTTAACAAACAAAAGTGTATCGTTGCCAATGAGTATGTGTGTGTGTATATGTTTTTGATAGTTTATTGGACCATCTCTAGATCCAATCAAATAAATTTCATGTTATCGATTTTCCTATTCGATTATTTCAAGCGACCATTGGTCAACTGTTGTCAACCACTGACAAAAATAGACTGTTACCTTCACTATAAATGAAAATAACAGTGGTAGACTGACTTACAGCTATTGTCATTTCCAACATGTTACAACGTCTAAACATAACGGTAGATTTCCCATTAAATTTTCATTAATATAAATAATTTAAACATCAAGTTTTAATTGAACTAATTCTAATTGGAAATTGTGAGAGTGATGTGTGGTGTTAATTGAAAATGTTGTGATCTATTAGTAACCAATTTTCGTTCTTATTCATTGGTGGAATAGTGTTTATGTTGTTTTAACATACCTACGGCTTGCGATTTAATTTATTTCAAAGTGAAATTGAAAAATTACTTTAATTTACTAGTTAGTTATTAATCAACAAAACAAAATCACATTTTCATTTTCTTCTAGTCCAATTGAAAATCCAATAGCATATTTATTGGAATTGGTGTTCGGGAATTATACACAATTCACAGTATCTGTTCCATAACTTAATTCATAAAATAAAGTTTACTCTAAAGTTGCTCTATCAGTGGTAGTGTTACTAAGAAACAAAACTACTTTTTAATTCTTAAAATTTGCTTAAACATTATAAAAAGTATTCTAGAGTAAATAAAAAAATACGTCAAAACCCATTGACTTACAATTATATGGACGTCGGGTCCGCGCTAAAAAGTGTCCGCACTTGTAAGGCGCTAAAATCGTATACAGAGCGCGACACTCCGCTTTAGTCTTCATTTGTTCTACTGACAGCGCGATACTGCGATGACATTACAATTTAAATTTCGAATAGGTTGACTTGGGACATTTTTTTCGTGGTTTTTGTATTAGACCCGTCGTCCATTTATTTGTAAATCAATGTCAAAACCAAAGGAATTTTCCAAATGGCCACCGTAAAAATATAACGATTTCCTGCAAAAATGTCAGAAAATGAAATTATTAAATAAAAATTTATATCTAAGAATTGGTGGTATGGCCAATTAGATGCCTTAGCCTGTTCCGAAAGACGAAAAATTTTACTACTATTAATTTTTTTTATATAATATCAAGTAACGGGACGAACAAGTCGTGCGCCTGTCCATAATACAGTTGCAGTGCCACTCAGAGCTTTAACTCGGAAAGATCTGAAGGGCAATGCCACTGCGTCCGTCACCCTGAGGCAAGTTGACAAGTCCCATGGGCCTGTACCGGAATTTACTATTTTTTCTCGTATAATTGTTTTTTTTTTTCAAATAAACCAACGTTTCGTGCCCTTTACACGTCCCATAGTCACAGTTGACTGAACTTAGTTAGACTCGTTTTTTGAGGAAATAATCAGAAGTCAATTTAGACCGAATAATTAAAATCATTGCCCTTCTTTTCGGTTTCATCAAATTGGGTAAAAAATGTGTACACAGCTTCATTCATTGGCTTCGCTATTGTCTCTGGGACTACAAAATAAATCAGATCTACAAAGAAGCCGTATTAGACCAAGTAATTAAAATCATTGCCGCTCTTTTCGGTTTCAAGAAGCTGGGTAAAAAATGTACTTACCTCCACTATTGTCTCTGGTATTACAAAATTAAACAGATCTAGAGCGTACGTGGGAAAGCTATTACTGACTTTTATAGACGAGGTTCAATAGAAAACAATGTTTCTTTATATTGATCATTATCTAACGAACGTTATGTTGCGAAACTTTCACTTAATTTATATAAATATAGTTAAATACAGAATTTACTCTTGTAAAAATAAAACTAATTAATAGGAAACTTACCAAGCATATTTAAATCTTTTCGTACCTTTCGTTTATAAAGGCAAATGTGTTCATATGTGAAAAGTATATTCATTACAAGAAAGTCATAAAAATAATACGATCTACATGAAACAAAGCATTTACATGTGAAATTTTATAACGCGTAATTAAGTTTTTTAGTAGCAGTAGAGCGCCTTGTGAAACTTTTGTAATCGATACGTGCTCTAGAATGTGTGATTCAGGATGTAAGGTTTATTTGATTTATCGTTAATTATTTCCCTTTCTGTCCTATTTATGATATTAATTCGCAGTCTTTTTGATAGATTTAGTAGCAGCAGAGCTCCTTGTAAAAGAGTTCGTCCAGGGAAGTACTGCCACCTTAGTTATTTCTGCCGTCAAGCAGTAATTACTGTGTTCCGGTTTTAAAGGGTAAGGGTGCAGGTGAAATTGTAGGATGGGACTTGTCAACTTATGTGTCAGGGTGAATGGGCACTTGTTTTCGTTTAACTAAGGTAAACGATTTATTTATGGGGAACTGTATACGTTTTTACAATAAGATTCCGGAGCATATATTAAGTTTACCATTGCCTAAGTTTACAACTTACATTAAAAGTATTTTAATTGAAAAGTCATATTACAAAATTGTAGACTACGTGTTAGACAAAGATGTATGGAAAGTCAACGTGAGTCTAGATTCCACACAAATATGATTCAAAATGTAGTGTATAGCATTTAAGTTTATTTGAAAAGAGCAATCGCTAGAGTTTCTTGCTCGTTCTTTTCACGGAGGTCAGCGTAGTGAACGAGCAGTAGCTTAAAAAATGACGTTTGACTTTGACTTTGACGGGCGCAGTGATGGTGCCCCTCAGATCTTTGCAATTTAAAGCTCTGAGTGGCACTGTAACTGTTATGGAAAGTGTCACGTTGCTAAAAAAGTTATCAACTGATTTCGGTCGTGCCTCTCAAGCAGAGGCCGTGGGTTCGAACCCGGGCTGGCACCTCTAACTTTCTCGGAATTTTTGTGCATAATTTAAAATGAAATTTACCATGAGCTTTTCGGTAAAGAAACACATTGTTATGAAACCTGCACGTCGAAGAGTTAAGTAACTTAATAAATAAGTTAACGCACGACAGGTGGGTAGGTCACTTACATAGAACAAAATATTCAAAATCCACTGTACTCAAATCAATATTCACTGTCAACAACGGATTTTTGAACAAATTTACACGAGCTACGATTACGCACACTTATTTTTCAAGAATTTAGCTTTGTGATTAAATGATATAATTATAATTTAAATATCATTTTTAAGCCTAAGTATGATTGTCACTTGAACTGAATTGAATTGAACTGTTTTATTTGATGTATTTAATTGTTATTTTTTAAAGATAACACTTCCACTGGTTAGTCATACTATATTCTATCTATTTATGCCATTGTACTTTGATTATGGACTTGTTTACTGTTTTTATCAAACTATTAAAACAACTACGACCTCACTGCACTCTCCCTGGATGGCGCTCTTTTTATGAAATTTTTAATTTACTTTAAATAAGAAAATTTTTGTGAAATCATTAATAAAAAGATTGAATCATACTAAATCTAAGTATTAAATATTTGTGATGATGTTAAAACATCATATAGCGATTTCCCGAGGACGGTTACCGGACACCCACGCTGCGTCACACGTCGCAGTCCATAAGTGTAAATCAATAAATAGTGTTTTAATGTTTTATTATTGTCATTATGTATGTTAGTCTATAATTATAATTTAATTTACGGGTTTTTATAACCTGATCATAAATAAAATAAATAAAAAACACACTCAAATAATTCTTCTCAGGGAAATCTGCTTTAGGAAAGGGCAGTAGTTTTAATCGATGTGACAATTTAAAGTTAAAATTTCTTATCTATGAAATTAAAACATGTTTGATTTAAATTGAATAGGAATTTAAAAGGAAGTAAAGGATATTCAGTGCTACTAATAAATATTCCAGAAATGGCTTTTTTGCCTGCTCGTCGCATCTGCAGGACCTCTCTGGAGCCCCGCGCGGGCTGTCTCAGTACGCGTGCCTCCAAAAGCCCCGACCACACTTGAGGCTCAGACCAAGTTTTTTCAGTAAGTATTGCCAACAAAAGTGCTTTAATAAGTTTCACTTTCAAGCGACTTTATTACAAGGTTATATAAAAAGGTCCAACAATACTTTGAGATGTGATAATAGAAAAGGCTAGTGAAAATATTCAATTGCAATTGTTCGTTGTTATAAATCGTATTAGACTCTCAATTATTACCGATATTCTTATATGACTTATATGATGACTTCTTATATGACGGCCTCCGTGGTCGTGTGGCTTGCACACCGGTTTTCATGGTGTCGCCATCTCTGAGGTCCCGGATTCGATCCCCGGCCGGGTCAGTGTAAAAAACTAACTAACAGAGTGTTACCTAAGAACTCGATAACAGAGTGTTGTTTCCGATTTCCATAACGCAAGTGCTTTAGCTACTGACTTTGGGATCAGAGCAACGTATGATGTTGTCTAATATTTATTTATTTATTATTTATTATCTTAGCCTATTTGATGCCGAGTGGATGAGAGTTTCTTTTAATTTGTATTTTTTTATTCATTTTGCTGTGATACATATTAATTTTTTTTATGATATTAAGCGCCGTGATGACGAAGTCATGGGCCTGGTGATAAGCTACACGCCTATTCATAACAGTTGCAGTGCCATTCAAAGATTTAAATCGCAAAGATCTGATTAGAATTGTCACTGCACCCTGAGACATAAGTTGACAAGTACCATGTTCCTGTAATTTCACCAGCACGGCAGAAATAGGTAAGGCTGCCGTACTTCCCTGGGCGAAGTCTAATACCGCTTCAATTTTTAAACGTACTGTATCTAACGTAAATTGGAACACACAGCTGATGTTTTCCAAAAATTATATCCATGCCCCTAATTGATATTCTAATTACTACCACTATATTAAGTAACATTTCATAAAAACTAGCTTCATATTGTTGTCCATTATGGAACGGTATCGAATACTAATGGCCGTTATAGGGATTTTTTCTCAGTACAGTTGAGCCCGTACAAGATAGAGTTCGGACACGTGTGCGAGGATCCTAACTCCTGGGAGCAGCGCTACGAGAAGAAGGACTTCAAAAACCATAGGGATATGGGCAAAGTACATACCATAAAATCTCTCCCTTCTTTTTCTCTCTCTCTTGCTGCTTCTTCTTCTTCATCTTTGAACCGGTCTCCTCTATCTTGCCACTTTCAGCTGCTATAACAATAACCAAGCCATCTCTTATAAGTGCATATTGCCTTCTATCGTTAACTAATACCTACCCATAGTCCTTTTTTCCACATTTTGTTTAAAAAATAAATTTATACTTTAGAAATGAAACTATTTTTTCGAACCTAAATGGCGGTTTAACGGTAATGGCGGCTGTTTACATGGAGTCCAATCCCATTCTCCGTCAGAAACAATTATTGTCAAATAAGTAACACTCTACCACATCAAAAAACAATATCGAGTATGAAGCTTCATTCACATCAAGCGTATTTTAATTTGGTCGTAAATTTGACAGTAATTATTCAGCTAAGTGAGATAGTAAAGTTATAAACCAGTTATCTAATATTAATGCAAACCACGTTGAGTCATTTCGGGGCTTATAAAGAGCCTGAAACGTTGGTTTATTTGAAAAAGAAAAACAAATATACGCTATATAGATCCGAAAAAGAAGATATTTATACAGTTCATCATATGGCATTTAATTCTTCTAAACTAACATTATTTATTTGTTATTAGTCGTACATTTATCCAAAGTACGCTTAAAAGCTATTAGAGAATATAACCTGTCACATAAGCCATAAAAGGTCAACTAAAAAAATCTCGTCGATCAAAAGTGTTAAGAAATTGCGTAGTTCAATTTACTTCCTTATTGTCAACTGACCGACCATCTTATAGACGATACATTTCTAACAATATAATTAACACCTCTATCTGTTTCTGCGCTGCTTCGCTTGGCTCCGCTTAGGTACAGGAACCTTCCGAGTCACGAGGACTTCGACCAGGGTCACCGACAGGGCAGCGACAAGCACTTCACCGAACGCCATGAGAAGGCCCGTCCCGGTGAGGGACTCTTCTCAGCTAAAGTACGCTTCTGCTCTCTTCTTTCTATCCCGGGCTATTTATTCATTCATATTATATATATTAGGTTTATTATGTACTACCTAGTAGGTTTTATATGTGTAGACGTTCATATCATCAAGTTTCAGATCTAATCTTTAACAAAAGCTTATTTAAATTGCTCCATCCACCAATTTACTGCGAATTAATATTGTTCAATTTTCTCACTAAAACTGTAGATTCTAAACAAGGTACTCTATGCAAAACTTTTTAAATTTGATCTTAAATATTATTCATACTAATATTGTCGTTTTCTCCAGGTGCGATGGGGCGACAAACAAGGAGGGTACGGAGAACACTACTGGGATCTGAACCATGCCGGACATGCTGGCAATCATAATAACGATGAAGATGACTCCTATCGATCCGACGAAACGCCTTACAGTTCACCATACCAACCTAATGACGACTCCTACGGCGTTCACGATACAAATGATGATGGTGATACGTACGACGACTCTAGTGATCAATCTCCCAAATATACGGAGTATAATCCAGAAAACACCCAAAACAGCGATGAGACAAACAGAGCAAAGAGAGCTCATCCTAGACTCAAAACTGAAAAACAGCAGAGGTCAACAGAAAGTCCAAGAAAGCTGCAAAGATTCCGCAAAATCAAAGAACCTACAGTTGCTGCGAGTAATGTTGAACCCATTGAACCAACCGCGGCCAATGTTGAACAAGTTGAAACTACTGATAGGCCTTTGAAAAGACGCAGTAAATTGAGACAAGTTAAGACATCGAAAGACGAATATCAAGAACCTGATCAGGACGACTTGAAAGCGAAAAGTTCAAATACTCAGGTACAAACCCAAAACCCGAACGTTCAGCTACAAAGTAGCCAATACTCTAACGTCCAAGAGCAGAATAATCAATACAGGAGGCCTGTGGAACAAACTTTGTACGTACCTTACGAAAGTGGAGCAGGAGTGAGGCAGTACCAATCGCCGAATTCGAACGAAGCTGCAAATGTTCCAAGATTGTTTCTAGAAGCTGCGACGGGCCACGTGGTGGACAGAGCCACGGGGAAAGCATATATTTTACAACCTGTTGCCGTTAACAATAATTACAATTAGTTATGTTTAATATTAGCCGATTAATTAATTTATTTTTTATGATTAAATAACTGTTATGACAATTTATGACAGTTCGTTTATAAGTTCGTTTATAGGCTAGTATAGGTTTCTTTGAAAAAACAAATATACGATACGATTTAAATCCGGCAAAATAGTTTCATTTTCTTTGTGTAACAATCGCGAAAACCTAAGAACTCGATAGTTCGTTTATAATTTTGTCTTTTTTATTTAAGGACCATTCTCATTTCTGCAATTTTTTTGTGCATATGTGTTAAAAAACGATATACTTGTATTACTTAGTCAATTCCTATTTAAAATTAATCGAGGTAGTTTACGTCAATATGATTTTTAGTTATATATTATTATATTTACACAAAATAAATATTTATTTAAATCATCATTAAGAAAGTGTCGAAAATGTCATTTCCATGTCGTGTGCAAAGTCCATTTAAAATTAAACATATTTATCTGTAATAAATAAACTAATCTATATTATTTTACGATAATACGTAGAATAAATTTTCTAAAAACACTAAATAATTGCAACATAAATAAAATGGATTGAAAATATTTCATAACGTTTGTGCATGAAACAATTGTCACCTCCATGCACAAACTTATTGAACGTAGCCATAATTTTTATTAAATCAGTCCACAACTTAGAGGATGGAAAAAAATAAAGGAATAATACTAGGTTCTTAAGTGAAACATATTGTAGGATACGGTATCTTACATTTGAGACTACTTTAAATCATATCAGAAAAAATTGTTTTTTTCTTTTATTTAGTCCATTTTTGAGAATGGCCTTTAATATGATTTTTCTACTCTCGTACTTTAATCTGTCAACATGTCAATTATAAATTCTTATACCACATCATGAAAGCGGTCTTTTTAGTTCTGAATCAAAATTCTATTGTCTATTGTACTCGATTCAAAAAAAGAGCGTCGTATTATTCCCAATTAAAATATTAATTAGGACGGGCCATAAATCTTTATTAAAAAAAAGGTTGGTTAAAATTTAATGCGGTACTTGGCCAGTTCTATTCTATCTCTTTGGTATTTTGTTTTACGTTTATTTGTCTTTCCTCTAAAATTAAATAATTATATGAAGAGACTGTATGGTGGAACCTTTGCCTACAAATGGGTTAAAATTTGTTGAAAAAAAAAAGCGTTTGGTGTCATGGATTATTAACAAAATGTATATTAAATATTAGTTCTGTTTCATAATTTTATTTACTCGTAGAAAAAGTATTGTATGCAACCATTACATAATTAGGTCTTAAAATCTCGTACCTATTACCTACTTAGGTCACTCGGCAAGGCCTCGTGGCCTGAATACAACGCTCGGCTTTAAGAACCCTCTTTATGCAACAATTGCATAAAATACTATTAATTGACCTTAGGATAGGTTCCAAAAAAGCCTCATTCTCTTTGAAAATATCTGTAATAAAAATTACTATTTGGCGCTTAAAGTACTTTACTCTCACATACAGAAAAAGTCAGATAAAGGAATTTTAATTTTTCTGATTTATTCAATTTTATTTTATTTACACTATATTCTGTTTGCAGTGCGTCGTAAAACAGATAAGTTTTCTTATGGAAAGTGATTTTCTAATAACCTGTCTTACAAGTAACCACCTATAAGATCTGACCTATGCATTTTCTAACAAGAACTATTTGTGTAAAAATTTTACTAAACGCAGTGCTGTAGTTACAGAATATATATTACTACGAGAACCATACACAGTTGAACGATGGAAATTAGTTTTCATTGTTCCACTGTATACAGAGGAATTTTCGTTTCGCAGCTGGCAAGACACCACTTCCAGTAATAAGCGTTAAAGTACTATTTGCTTATAAATTCTGTATAAGCAATGTCTATGCAGTAATCAGTTTCTTATTGGTCCTTGCTTAAACGACTTTGATAGCCTCTGTGGCCCAACGGTTCGCATTATAGTAGAACCAATTTGAGAAATGCACTTTTCTAAATTAGTTGTAGTGTTTTGGTGATTTCCATTGTTTTATACTCATAGTACAGGGAACTCCCCGTGAGAGTGTGAGACCACAAAATTGGTGTTACCATAATAATTAAAAAAAATCTGCTAGCAGTACTAAGTTCCTTTTTTTTCTCTCGATATTCAGCAGACATAGTCACAACTGTCTATAGCCCGTATTTACCTGTGTAATATTTAAATTGTACCGTATACCACCTTTATCTGGCGACTTTGGCGCTATGTTTTACAAATCCTCACGGGTGGAATCCTAAAATTGTGTTAAATTTGATTCCACAAATTCCCACCAAAGTAGTACTTGCTACACAGTGGGGATTTGTGGAAGAATAATCCCCACCAAGATATTATTTTATTTATTAGGTAAATTTGTAGATTTTGCCGTAACACCGACATTGATTTTCAGCTCCAATGTCCCGTCAATATTACAACACATATATATTTTTCTTAAATTGAAAATTGACTTTTGAACTTCCTTTAAAATATTGAATTATTCTTACGTGGGTACACAAGAATTGTTTGAGTACTCAAACAATTTGTTTATCTTCGCCAAAGAACGAGTAAAAAAAGTCAACTCGGTTCTAATACATAGCATTTTTAGTGGGGATTTGTGGAGCATACAACTTTGGCGATATTATCTATCCCTCCCGCTGAAGTACGCGACATGGTTACAATCATTACTGGTAGAGTACAGAGTTATCCGAAGTCCTTTAATCTTGGTCCTTACTTCATCTTCGAATTTCGAAGTTAAAAATTAGGTCTATTTTATTTTTGGGAGCTTTTGTTATCGCTTTAATTTAGTTTTTGTTTTGTTTGTAACTTTGTTTTGTAATTCTCTATTTGTATACGTATGAATGTCTTTGAAAGTATTTTTATTTTTTCTTGTGTAGTGCCAGT